GGTTGAATCTCAAAAAATCTAATCAGGGATGACTTATTAATAATGATAAATGGATAAAAATAATTGCATCTAAAGGGCTAACATTGCTCAAGCTCTCTGATGTTGAGATAAGACCAAGAATTTAGTGAGAATTATCAAACCCCTTTGTAGTCATCCTGTTCCCTCCATGCTCAACCAGTTTTCTGCAGTATTTGCTTCAGTTCCACAAACATTCATTGAGGACCTCCTACTATCCATCAGATTCATGCTAAGTGTTTTTTTGGGAAAAAAGTAATAAAATAGAATCCTTGTCCTTGAGTTGCTCCTGGATTAATGGTGGAAGACAGAGCCCTAAGTGGTTAGTTATAAGGATGTCCAGAGTCTTATGGGCAGGGCACCTGATCCAGGCTGTAAAGGAAAAGTGAAAGTGTTAAGGAAGATTCTGGAAGAATGTTTATATTACCAATTCGTTAAAGAAGAACTTTGCAGCCAACTCTAAAATTGAAGTGACCAATAAATATTCCAAGGAGCCTTCGTGGCACAGTGGTTAAGTGCTTGGCTGCTAGTCAAAAGGTCAGCAGTTTGAACCCACCAGCCATTCCTTAGGAGAAAGATGTGGCAGTCTGCTCCTGTAAATATTCACAGCCTTGAAAACCCTACGGGGCAGTTCTACTCTGTCCCACAGGGTTGCTATGAGTCAGAACGACTCAATGGCAACGGGTTTTGGTTTTGGTTTTAATAAGTATGCCAGAGATACTTCTAGAGGATCATAACTTTTCATTTTCATAGAATCACAGAGTCTGCCATTAATAAACAAAGCAAAATGTTTTAGAAACAGTTGCTTAAGTGATATGAATAGGTTAGCTCTTTCATTCAAAGGTAACTAGATTAAGGTGTAGGGAAAAAGTCAAAAGACACATATATATCCAAAATAACTAATCCACTGCCCTCGAGTTGATTCCACCTCACAGCACCCATAGAGGATGGAGTAGAACTGCACCGTAGGGTTTCTAAGACTGTAAATTTTACGGGAGTAGACTGCCACATCTTTCTCCATGGAGTGTGGCTGGTGGGTTTGAACTACTGACCTTTTGTTTAGCAGCCCAATGCTTTAACCACAGTGCCACCAGAGTGTCTCTTCGTACATATATAAAAGAATATAAAATGAAAACTACATTTATCATTTTATTTCTCCATATTGATAATGACATTCAAATATTTTATTTGAATTTTAATAATTTTTCAAAATAACATTTCTTAACAGAGTATAGGAATTTGGGAACAAAGACATGGAATGTGTGAGCACCATCTGTCTCCCTAGTAAAAAAAGCTAAAGGCCAAAAAAGCTGAATGCCAACCTCTGATACCCAGTTCAGGGGGCTTAAAAAAGATGATGCTAATTTTTAATCCCCTTGTCCTAATCAGAATGGTTTTATGGCACTGAAAAGGAGCCAGCCTAAGAAAAGGCAGTATCTTCCACCTTGACTGATATGTGCCTATTCCTGGGCTTTCTCAGGACTTTGAGAGAAATATGTTGTCGTTAGGTGCTCGAGTCAGTTCTGATTCATAGCGACGCCATAAAGAACAGAACAAAGCATTGCCTGGTCCTGCACCATCCTCAGAATAGTTGCGATGTTTGAGCCCATTGTTGCGGTACTGCATCAATCCATTTCACTGAGGATCCTTTTCGCCGACCCTCTACTTTACCCACATGATGTCCTTCTCCAGGGACTGGTCTCTCCTGAGAACATGTCCAAAGTACGTGAGATGAAGTCTCACCATCCTCGCTTCTAGGAGCATTCTGGCTGTGCTTCCTCCAAGACAGATTTGTTCGTTCTTCTGGCAGCCCATGGTATAGTCAACATTCATTCCCAGCACCATTAGTCAAAGGCATCAAATCTTCTCTGGTCTTCCTTATTCGTTGTCCAGCTCTCCCAAGCATAGATGATTGAAATTACCATGGCTTGGGCAAGGTACGACTTAGTTCTCAAAGTGATATCTTTGCTTTTAACACCTTAAAGAGGTCTTCTGTGGCAGATTTGCCTGATGCAGTATTATTTTCCTCAGGCATACTGGCGGTGAGGAGGAAAAGGACTCTGACTAGAAGTTGGAAGGCCCAGAGCTGGATCCTGGCACTGTACCTAAACTACTGTGTGTCCCTGAGCAAGTTTCTGGACGTCTCTAGACCTCCATGTCCTCCTCTGTAGAATGGGATGTTAGACTAGATCACTTGTTCTCGGCAGGAGCAGAAGAGCCCCCTAGTGGGTGGTTTCAGTTGTTAGAATAATTGGCGGCAGCCGAGAACAGGAGCT